ATAATAATAATAATCTTCTTTTACTTTTTTTTTTTAACTTCCATTCTTGTTTTTGTCTGTGTGTGTGTCGTTTTCATGATTGAATATTTAAAAAAAAAATTGTAATTAGCGTTCTGGCCAATAGTCAATTCGTTATTAAATGGGGAGCCAGTTAAGCAGGAAATGCGAACGATTATTGCGGGATCCTCTCGTTTTATTATTATTATTATTATCTTCATTTTCATTCATATTTAAACTCTTTACCTCTTTCTCCCCCTCGAATCCGACAACTTCCCCTCTTTTTTTTTTAAATCTTTTCCCCACCCAGTTTTCATCTCGTTAAAGTTTTCCCATTGATGGATGAGAGGGGAGGGGGAAAAAATGTGACGTCACGACAAAAAAACGACAAAAAAAATGGCGGCTAACAAGAAAATTTAATTTTTGAAATCTACAATAAAAAAGGACATGTGCGAAGTCGTAGTAGTAGTAATAATAATAATAATAATAAAAATCAGGTACCCGAAGTAGGTAGGTAGGCACGCACGCACGCACGATTCGACTACCGATAATTAAAGTTGTGGTGATGGTGGTGGCGGTGGCGGTGGTGGTGGCGGCGGCGGTGACTTGCATCATTGGATAATTATTTAAATTGTTTTCTTGTAATTATTCGGTCGTTATCGGATGCCCCCTCCTTCTCCTCCCCTCCTTTAAATCACAAAAAAAAAATTTTTTTCTTTTGTTTCTTTTCGCGGTCATTTCGGGTGATTTATTTTTCCTTTACTTCCTCTTTCCTCCCTCTTCCCTTCTCTCTCTCTCTCTCGTTCCTCTTAACAATTCTTTCAATCCGCGCGTTTCCCCCCCCCATCTCGTCCGTGACGCAAAACAAAACCTCATTGAATCCGCGCGTAAAATTTCATTTCAAAAAAAAAAAAAACAAAAAAAAAACTTTTGTCGCACACGCGACATACAATAATTCGAAATCTTGAATTTTTTCAAATGTTAATTAAAAAGAAATCCTTAATCCTATCCTGATTATAAACTAATCACCTTTTTCACCTATTATTATCATTATTATTTCCTTCTTTTTTTTTTAACAGGACCGTACATAAAATAATTATTAACTTTTTTTTATTTTTCTAACTACTACGCGATCGATCATTTGAACAAATTAAACCCCCCCTCCCTCTCAAAATAAAAAACAAAACTGGAATTCATTTAACGTGTATTTTATTATCATTATTATCATTATCATTATCATTATTATTATTATTATTATTATAATTATTCCGCCGGTCAAATTTTTAATGACTTGTACTCTCCAAACGGGGCACCTTAATCTCCTGTTACAACTGAATCAAAGCCAAATTCATTCAAGGCTATCATTCTCATTATTATCATTATCATTATCATTATCATTATTATTATCATTATTATTATTATTATTAATATTATTATTATTTTAATTCCATGCTTGCACTTGTAGAAGTTTTATTTCCAAAATTCTACCCGATTCCTTACGAATAAATGTTTCGACATTAATTTTTTCCTAGATTTTTCCAGAATATTCTCCAGTCTTATCCAGTTTTCTCCAGTATTCTCCAAAATTTTCTCCAGACTTCTCCAGTTTTCTCCAGAATTTTTAGACTCCTCTAGGCCTATCTAGACTATTCTAGTTCTCCAGACTTCTCCAGACTTCTCCAGTATTTTCCAGAATTTTTTTCCAGACTTCTCCAGTCTTATCCAGAGAAACCTCCCTAATCTTCTACACAGCCTTTCTAAACTTTTTCAGCTTTTTTTTCTAAACTTTTCCAATTTTATTTTCAATCTTTTCCAGATTTTTTCGAGACTTTTCTTGCCATTATTATTATTATTATTATTTTTATACCCATGGAACGAATTATCTATTTATAATAAATTTTAAGCTCGCTCGCCGCCGATCTTTTGTCAAAACCGTTACCAATATACCTCGGGTTATTATTATTATTATTATCATTATCATTGAAATTTTCTATTGAATTTTTGGCGACAAAATCAAAATCGTAAAAGTCATTTAAAAAAAAAAATTATGATTATTATTATTATCATTGCTACCACTCTTTGATTACGAAAATAAGTCACAATAATAATAATAATAATAATAATGATAATAATAATAATACAAGTGACATATGGTAAATGAAAAAAAAAAAAAAAACACGCACACTCACGCACGCACGCACGCACATGCAGACGACGTAGAAAAAAAATAAAAATAAAACCTTTGTTATATGTATATATATATAAATTAATCGAAACGATAAATTATCATTTCCGGTTTAAATTTAATAATAATAATAGTAATAATAATAATAATATCGTTTTTAATTAATTGAAAAGATATTTAATTTATTTATTTATTTGATTTTAATTCGTGGAATATTTCAAACAATTGTCAACGTCGTCGTCCTCGTCGCCCTCATTATTATCATTATCATCATCATCATTATTATTACGACCATTAATAAAAAAAAAAAAAAAAAAAAATTAATCAATCAATCAATCAATCAATGGATCAAAACTCTCGACGAATGTACGCGAAGAAAAATTCGTAACTTAAAAGGAAAAAAAAAAGAAAATTAATTGTTACGTCACACGACTTCCTCTTACATTCCCTCCCCTCCCCCTCCTCTAACCATCCCCTCTCCACCTTTTCACCCGAATGAAAAATCATGATTTAGAGAAAGAGAGAAAAAAAAAAAACCGGATAACGATTTGTATTTATCGAACCGTAATTTATCATATTTATCACGGTATTAACCCTTCCCCCCCCTTTATTCCCCTCTATCCTCCCCCTTCTACTCGCGTCTCATTCACCCCTTTCCTTACCCCTCCTTCCTCTTTCCCTTGAGTCTTTTTTGTTTTTTTTTTTTAAACTTTATTATTATTATTATAATCGGGGATTTTCGTAAGCGTCGTCGTTGTCGTCGTCGTCTGCACATCGTCTGCAACGTCGTCTGCTTCTTTGTTTTTATTTACTTTTTATTTTTATTTTAAATTCTTTCTTTTTTATCGAAGGGTTTTTATTTTTTTTCATTATTAATATTATTATTCATTTGAAATCAAATATCGGGGGGAGGAGGAGAGAGAGGGACAGAGGGGATTAGGGGGGATACGGGGGGGATTTTTTTTGGTTGAAAAATAAATTTTTTTAATTTAAAATCGACAAAAAAAAAAATTTTAACCTTATAAGTAAAAAAATAAATAAATAATTTTTTTTTTTGAATAAAAAAGCAACGCCTTTTTAACCTTGAAACCTCTCACGGATGATGATTTATCTTTTTTCTTTTCATCTCTCTCTCTCTCTCTCTCTCTCTCTTTGTCTCATTCACTCTCCCTTAATATTTACCTTCTTATCCCAATATATTACTTGTTCTTTCTCTTTCTCTCTCTCTCTCTCTCTCTCTCTCTCTTTTCTTTTTTTCTTTTATTTTTTCTGTTTATTATGTCTTAGGGGGAAAAAAAAAAATTTAATCCTTTAGATTTCGTTTTTTTTTTTCTTTTTCATTTTTAGATTTCCAAAAAAAAAAAAAAAAGAAAGAAAAAAAAAAAAGAAAAAACTCATCAACCATCCTTTTATCATTATTATTATTAATATTACTTCATTCATCAAAAGACGGAAGGAGAGGTGGGAAGAGAAAAGTCGTGGGAGGGGGAAGAAAAAACGGACGAGGGCGAAAGAAAAAGAAAAAAAAAATTTTTTTTTTTTTCTCTCTCTTTCTATCTCTCTCTCTCTATTTCTTTCTTTTATTATTTAAACTGTCAGTTTTCGGTCATAAATTTTTCACCCATTTTTTTTTTTTTATATAAAAAATAAAAAATAAAAAAACGTGTAAATAGAAAAAAAAAAAAAAAAAATTCATGCCTTTAAACCTTATAGAATGATTTAAATTCTTTTCATTTTCCCGCGCCCACCTCGCTCACCCAATGTTCTTTCTCTCCCTCTCCCCTTCCCCTCCCCCCGACATTAAACGTTTATAATTAATTAAAAAAAAAAAAAAATTTTTTTTCGTTTTTTTGTTCGTTTTTTCCATTTTAAAATCTCACTAGAAAAAAATTTGAGAAGGTCGTTAAAAAAAAAAAAACCACGTGGCAACCACGATTGTTTTTCAACCGATGAACAAACGACGAACGAACAAACAAGCAAACGAACAAACGTAAAAAAAAAAAAAAAAAAAAAAGAAAATTCAGTTTGAATAAAAATTTTCCCGCGCGACATGTGCGACGTATCATCATCTCATTCATAAAAAAAATTTTCCTCGTTACCTCCTTCCCCTTTCTCCTCTCCGACCTCTCCCCTCTGATACCGTAAAAAGCTCTTCGTTTTCAATTCTGGGTCAATCGCACGCTCACGGAAAAGAAGAGTGAGAGAGAGAGAGAGAGAGAGAGAGAGAGAGAGAGAGAGAGGAGGAAAGTGAAGAGGGGGAGGCATTAAAGGATTTAAATTTTCCATTCATTAACCACACAAACCGTCAAATCGTAATTATAACGATAATAATAATAATAATAATAACATATATATCGCGTAATGTAAAAATCGTCGGTTTTTCCCCTCTCCCTCCCCTCCCCTCGCATTCTCACTCTTTCCCCTTCATCGATTTCCCACTTTCGCTACCCTCCTCTTCCCACCCACTAATTGTTTTTATAAATAATTTTCCCTCTCTCCTCCTCCCCCTCCCTTTATTCATTAATAACATTGCGATTATTATTATTATTATTACGATCATCATTATCGATAACCCGAATTTAAATTTTAAATTACGGAAACTGGGGACGAGGGAGAAAAAGAGAGTGAGAGAGAGAGAGAGAGAGAAAGTAAGTGACGAAAGTAAAAGAGAAAGTGGGAGGAGTTTAATGAGTTTTCACATTTGTAAAAAACAAATTTTCCCCCTTCCTCTCTCTCTCTCCCTCTCTGTCATCCAAAATCGACCAATCGTTTTCTTTTATTTTCGATCATTTCCCTCCCACCCCTTTCCCGCCCCCACTCACCCACCTCCTAACTTTTCTTTTAATTGAATTTCTTTTTTGTTTCGCGGATTTGATTGACCTTTCACCACCATCACCCGTCACCACCACCACCATCATTATTATTATTTTAATAAAAATAAACGATTATTGATCATCGCATTCGACATTAATAATAATAATAATAATAATAATAAATCTTACCTGCAGAAAAGTTGGATATGTGTACGTTTTTAGTTATGGGTTCGGACATTTCGTTGCTTGCCAAACCGTAAATTCTCAAAAGTTCTCTCATTGTACTTTCTGCATATTCCTTCATGGCGCTCGCTTCACCTGTACAAAAGGTACACACCACTCACATTAACGTCATTATTAGAAAATTAACAAGAAGGAGTCGAGGGATGAAAAACGTACCTGGTTGAGTTCCGGGTAATTGATGAGTATTGGTACCGGATCCATCGTTGCCAACTTGAGACACCACGGAATTATATTCGTTATCATCACTATTATTAGTCTTATCGTACGACGACGAGTCTTTACCGTTTCTATTATTATCATCATCACCATCACCGTCATCATCATCATCATCATCATCGACGCAATAATCGGCGATTAAATTATTTTGAGCAATATTTTTATTAAATTTCGATAAATCGATACCGAACGGATTGTTTTCCCTAGATGAATTCAATAAATTTAATAAACTTTCCGGTTTATCACCGTAATGGCACTTTGTTTTTACATGGCGGTATTTTTTCAAATTAATCCTTTCGCGAGAAAAACCGCTGTCGCTCGCGCTTTCATCGCACGCGGAATCAACATCGTCGTCGTCATCGCCGTCGTCACCGCCGCCGCCGCCACGAACACCGACGATGACGTCATCTTCATCATCAGCATCGTCGTTTTCGTCATCGTCGACAACGTAATCGTCATCGTTGGCGACGTCGACGACGTATTCCCGACCGTCTTTTATACTTAAATCCATAACTTCCGGTCTATTGACGAGTTTCAATGGAGTCTTACAATAGGTTTTCCTACGATTTTTAATTGTTTGTTTCTCTTCCGGATCGTCCATTTCGTCAGACGTAACAACGACCGTTGCTACATTCGAATCATTGGTCATAACATTTTCCGTTTCCGGTTTTTTATATTTTGTTTCGTTTGTCGTCACGATCGATCTCGGACGGAAATTTTTACGCTTGTTTGTCGATGGCAACAACAACGACGACGACGACGACGATGACGTTCTTTTGACACTTTCCCGACGATTGTTGTTATCTAAAGTCATTCTCCGACTACTACCACTACTACCATTCGAATTTTTTGTACATTTTTCATCATCGTCGTCTTCTTCTTCGTCGTCACCTTCTCCTCCACCTCCACCTCCGCCGTCGCCGCCACCGCCACTACCACCACCGCCTTCTTCTTCTTCCTCTTCTTCTTTGTTTATTTCTTCTTCTTCTTCTTCCATTTCGTTTATATTTTCACAGCCGCCGACGTGATTTTGATTTTTGTTCGGAATGAAATGATTTTCTGAAAAAAAAAAAAAAACAACAAACGAAATTTGTAATTAATATTATGTGACGCAACAAACGAAAACAAAAAAAAAAAAAAATATTTCCAGACCCTTTTTTTCCTTCCAAAAAAAAAAAAAAAAATTCTCCAGTACGGGAACAAAAAAAAAAAAAAATTTAAAAATTTTATTTCGTTCGACTTAACATAAGAAGAAAAAAAAAAAAAAAAAAAAATTCTCATATTAAAATGATGAAAGGGGTTCGTTCATTGAGAGCCAACTAAGTATTACATAAAAAAAAAAGCGGGGGGATTACACAAAAGATTATCAGTGGCGGATTCAGGAGGAAAAAAATGAAAAAAAATATAAAAAATTGAAAGAGAATTAATTCTAGTTGTCGTTAATTTTCCTCTTTCCGTTTTCATGTTATTATTATTATTATTATTGTTATAAAAATCAATTATTGCTTATGTGCGATACGATGATACGATAAAATGAGAGAGAAAGAGAGAAAGAGATGAAGAGGAAGAGAGAGAGAGAAGAAAAGGAATAAGAAAGAAAAACTCGTGACGCGCAGTAAATAATAATAATGATTATTAAAATTTCGTTAAATTTGTTTGCATTTCCCCATAATCGCACTAATTTAACGACAAATTTCTAATTCCACGACGGAAAATAATTTATAATAATAATAACAATAATTTAGGGAAGTGTTTTTAAATGGGAAAACGAAACCGTATTTTAATGGGGATACGATGGAAAATCTCTGGAATAGTTGTTTGTCATCAACAGGTTGTTTTATTTACCACCCACACGGAAAAGTAGATTCGGTGATGAAACAACGGAAAGAGAGAAAAACAAAGAAAGAGAAGAAGAAGAAGGAGAAGAAGGAAAAGGAAAACATGAATATAAAAGAATTAAAAAAGGTAAAAAAAAAATCTTGGAATCTATTAATGAGTGTACACACGTGTGAAATTTTTTTTTTCTTTTCCACCCTTCATCTCCCCAACACGCCCCCAACAAAAGACCAACAATAACAACAACGACAATAACAAACACAACGAAAACCACAAATACAACAACCAAAAAGAAATATACATTCTCTCTATCTCTCTCTCTCTCTCTCTTCCCCCATTTTAATTTTTTTTTTTACAAAAAACTGAAAAAAAATTTTCTCGTACCTGGATTTTAATCCAACTATTATCATTATTATTATTATTATTAATAAAAAAAAAAAATAACCAAAAATTTTTGAAAGATTTATTTATTTATTTATTCATAATCATCATCATCATCATCATCATCATCATCAAGGCCTGGTGGGTCGTATAAGGGAGTGAGAAAAAAATAAAATTTTTAACGAACATTAATAATAATGATGATGATAATAATAATAATAATAATTTAATTAAATAAAACGAAAAAAAAAAATTTTTTTTTTATTTATGTATGGTAAAAATTTATGAATAAATAAATAATTAAAATAACAATAATAATAATAATAAAAATTAACTATCGAAACGGTCAACAACAACAACAACAACAACATTCAACAACCACAACAACAAACAGGTAAGACCATTAAAAAAAAAAAAAAAAAAAACCTGACCTAACCGAATAATACCTAAAAGCTAAATAAAAGTGAATAATAATTATGATGATGATGATGATGATGATAATGATAATGATAATGATAATTTTTTAATTTAAAAATGTTTAAAAATTAAAAAAATTAAAAAAAAAAAATAAAAAAAAAAATTTATATATAGATTTCGGTGACTTTCGATTGTCGTGATTTAAGAAATATCTAAAACCACGGCTTTTTTTTTTTTAATATAAATTATTAATTTTTTTTTTTTTCTTATAAAAAACAAAAAAAAAAAAAACCTGGCGGCCTTTGTAAAACCTATAAATTTTTCAGTTTTAATTTAAAAACAATTTAAATAAATGAATTTATTGGAATCCGTTGTTAAAATAATAATGATAATAATTATAAGTTTTTAAAATATTTCTTTTGCTTTTTTTTCTGTCTCTCTCTCTCTCTCTCACTCTTTTTTTTTCTATTACTATATCATGATCATTCTGATGAGAGAAAGAGAAAGAGAGAGAGAGAGAGAATCCTTTTCGACGATTGCTTTCCCTTCGGGGGAGTTTTAGTTTTAATAAAATTTATTTTCTTTTCATTTCCACCTTTGTTTCTTTTTTTTAACCTTTACCATTACCCTCCCCACCCTCTCTCTCTCTCTTTCTACCTTCCTCTTTATCTATCTCTTTTCTTTACTTCCTCTCATTTCCACTCTCTCCTATTCCTTTTTCCTTCACGCTCTGTTTTTCTTTTTTCCTCTCATTTTCTCTCTTCTCTTTTCCTTTTCTTTCCGTCTTTGTTTCTCCCTCTCTCTCTCTCTCTCTCTCTCTCTCTTCATTTCTTTCTCTCTCGCTTTCCTTCCTCTCTTTCTCTCTATTTTCTCCTCTCTTTTGTTTCTTTCTCTACTTCTCCCTCTCTTTCTTCTTTTTCTGTCTTTTTTTTCCTCCCTCTTTTTCTTTTCTTTTTCATTCTCACTCTCTCTCTCTTCATTTCTTTCTCTCTCGCTTTCCTTCCTCTCTTTCTCTCTATTTTCTCCTCTCTTTTGTTTCTTTCTCTACTTCTCCCTCTCTTTCTTCTTTTTCTGTCTTTTTTTTCCTTTTTTATTTTCACTCACTTTTCCTCTCATTTCCTTTTTGTTCCTCTTTCTCACTTTTCTCTTTTCTCTCATTTTCCTCTTCCTCCCTCTTTTTCTTTTCTTTTTCATTCTCACTCTCTCTCTCTTTCTCTTACCTTATTTAACCTCTCTAGAACTTCTCAACACAGGTTCTTCTCCTCCTTCTGTTTAAATTTACGCCAAAAACATTCAACTCATCAAGAACGACAAACATTTTTTTTTTTTTAAATTTTCGGGGGTTGGCAATCTTCAATAATTGCTGTATCGGAATAATGATTTTTAAAAAACATTTTGTAATTAACATATGTCTTTTTTTTTTGATAAAAGAGTAAAGTAAAAAAAAAAAATTGGGGTCGAAATAGATGGGGTGAAAAGGTCAAAGGGAATAGTAATAATAATAATAATAATAATCCACGTTAATTGTTTACGTGAAAAAAAAAAAAAAAATTTTTTTATTTTGTACCCACGTGAGTACGAGAAACGAAACAATTTAAAAAATACTCGTGTAACTAATTTTTGCGTAGTCGTGGAAGAAACGAAAACTACAACAACGACAAACAAACGAAACAAAAAAAAAAGAAAAAGAAAGAAAAAGAGAGTAGGATTTTTTTAAAAAAATGCCGCCATAAAGAAGAAAAAAAAAATTTAAACGTTAATAAAATCGTGTCAATAGCAATTAATCACGTTCATTAAAAAAAAGAAAAAAAAATTTAACGTTATTAAAACGATTCGAAATCTTTCAATTAAAACCGAACGAAATGAAAATTTTTTTGCGTGGAAAAAAAAAAAAAAAAACTAAAAAAAAAATTTTTTAACTTCCCACTCGACCAAATAAAAAAAAAATTTCCCGCCATTTTGTCTTATTAATTTCTATTATTATTATTATCATTACTGTTAATTCTTTTGTAAAATAATCGGAAAAAATACTTTTTCGTTTTTTTTGTTTTTTTTTCAGAGAGATAAAGGGAGAGAGTGAATTTATCACATTTCGTATGTTAATTATGCAAGAGAGAGAGAGAGAGATAGAAAGGGAAAGAGAGAGGGAAGGAGAAAGGAAAGGGGAGAAAAGAAGAAGAGACACAAAAAAAATTGGGTTTGAAAAAAAAAGAAAAGATGATAATTGGGTTTGAGGACAGCTGGTAAAACTCGGCCGGCAATTGTAAAAAAAAAAAAAAGAGAGAGAGAGAGAGAGATAGAGGAGAATGGGCGACGACCTTGCCGTGGCACGAGAAAAATACCACGGGAATGGGCGGCGTACGTCTAATGCAACCAATTGAACCGGTATATTAATGAGAAAATAATTTAATAACAAGTCGGTTTATTAATTATTAATTAGCAAATATTAAAAATTCTAATTACACGTCACCTCCCATTTCTAAGGGCCGATTCGAATTATAACCAAAAATTTTTTTCGTCGGGTAAAAAAGAAAAGAAAAATTCGTGTAACCAACCAAATTACCCCGATAGCAAAAAAAAAAAAGAAAAAGAAAAAAAAGTGGCAATAGAAAAATAAAAAAAAACGCCAGTTAAAGAAAAAAAAAATTAATAAAAATTACTAACTGATTCGTACTAATGAAAAAAATTTATCTAATTACACTTTTCTTTTTTTTTTAAACGTAAACATTTTCTTGAGTTTCGATTTAAATAATAATAATTACCGGGCAGAATAATAATATTAAGTTTTTACTAAATTCGAAAGTAAATTTAATAAAGTAAAAATCGGGGAAAAAAAAAAATTTAATTTCAAAAGTTGGCAAACCTGGATTTTGGCACGGAAAAAGAAAAAAAAACAAGTTTGTTGATTCGTTAAGATTCGTTTTAATTGAAGCAATTATTTTCACATTAAAAAAAAAAAAAACTTTAATTGACATCTTTATACGTTTCCCTCTTCCCCTCCCCTCCTCTTTCTCTACCTTCTCCCTCCCCTTACTATCCGTTACGAGTTTTAACTTCCTGGAAGAAAAGAGAGCGGAAAAGTCAACCCGGAACCGAATCGGAAACGGCAACCTAAAGAGGGAAAGTTTCAGATACCTGGAAAAATTGATTAGAATTTTATCGGGGGGGGGGGCGGGGAGT